AGTGCATTTCAAATCATCAAGGAAATCTCTTTTTTTCTTTTACAAATTCAAGAAATACCTAATGCAGAAAATTTGGAAAACCCAATAAAGCATAAAGACCAAGACAAAAATTACTTGTAATTCCATTATCTTAAGTCAATTACTGTCTAGTACCCATTTTATCTTGCTTTATGCTATATTAGAACCAGAGTTAGAGTTCTTAACTCATTTAAATCCTAAGAATATTTATTCTTAGCCTTAATATGAATTTTGGTGTCATCTTAGTTAAAGTAATACATTTAGAAAAAAAGAAAACTGTCTTTTGATAAAGTTGATTTAAGGTAGAGACGACTTTCCTGTTTTCTTTTAGAGTGATAGATGGTAGATAGGTAGTTAAAATCCTTTTATTCTAGACATTTATTCAATCATTTGATCAGTAACTTACTAAATTCCTCTCATGTTTCAGGAATCAATGCTAAGTTTTAGATATAAAACTGTAAAGGGCTAAAAAGATGCAGTTCTTAGATGAGAATCTAAGATCTTTCATTAATCTAAAATTCTGTAATTCTTGAGTAGTCTACAGGATGTAATTGGTCTTCAACTACTGCTGTACCCATTTTATCTGTCACCGTTATCAGTTTCATCACTATCATCAGCACAGCTTTTCACTGTGGTGTGTTATGTATCTTGGCTATGTACGTTATGGTTATACAGGGGCTCTCTGAAATAGCATAGCCTGGGATTCATTTTATACCTCTGTGCCTTAGTGTTCTCAGCTAGAGAACAGTGATAATTTTCTACTTTTTAGAGTATTGATAGGATAAAGCGAGGTAGTATACATAATGCACTTAGAGTAGTGCATAACACTTATTAAAAGTTAGCTATTATTTGGGGAGAGTGTGTTGTTCGGGCTAATCAGGGGAAGAGCCCTTTGGTCTTCTAAAAGTAATAGTGAGGCCACCACCACAGTTTTAGAAACATGCAAAGCAGTTTTTATTATAATTGTCTTCTACAGTAGTAGCTCTGATACAAGTTCATTCTTTCATGTGGTCATCATGGCAGCTCTCTGGGGTGGATATTTGAGGTTTGCAGCATTATTGTGATGCATTTTAAAATGGCTCGTACAGTGAAGCTAACATATTATCCCACATATCTACTTTCTTGTGTAAGAAGAACTCTGCATACTTTATATTCAATTATGCTATAAGCCTAAAACTACTCTAAAAAATATTTTTGTAAAATGTACTTAACAAAAAAAATTAGCTATAATTAAACATTATACATGTGTGGTCCTGGAGTATAAGTATTTTGAAAAATGAGTATGTGGGGTGTTAATGTAAACATAGGTACCTTTGCATATTGTGATAATACTAGAATTAACTTTAGATTGCTTGTTTCTGTTTAAAAGTGTCATTACCTCCTCACTGGGAATAAATCTAACATCTTTATTTATGATTACCTATAAATAGTTAGGATAGACACATGACTTTAAGCTTATAAAATACATTAAGATGAATTACAGTCATATGGCTTAAAGCTGTTTCTCCAGAGCCCTTTCTGGCTGTTGTCTTCACAGATTTTCAGCAGAAATTTTTGTTTCACTACTATATAGTTTAATAGCAGTGGTATAAAATGTTTATTTCTTTCTTATACTTTACATATTTATAGACTATAGAAGTTATTTTATGTATAGATCCAAGTTCTTAAAGCTTATGTTATTAATAGTGCTTAGATGTCATAGTTATGACCAAGTGTTTTTTTAAGTATAATATCTGTCGATTATTCATAGAATTTTAGGATTTAAACATACTTGTTTATTCATTTCATTAAAGATTTTAATGTTGGTATTTATGAATGCAAGATAAGTACTTTATTAATAAAACTATTTAAACGTTAAGGAATGAAATATCTAACATCATTAAACTGTTTTTAAATTACTTTAAGCTGTATCTAATACAAAATTCATTGACCTTTAAAATTAATTTCTTCTATTGATATTTTTCAGCTATGCAAAAGCAGCTTTTTGTTTAGAGGAACTTATGATGACTAATCCACACAACCACTTATACTGTCAGCAGTATGCTGAAGTAAGTGTTTTTAGAAACAACAAATGTGTGTGATTTTATTTTTGTTGCTGTTGGTTATTATTATGGTACTAACAGTAGTTCTTCATGGTAGGCAAGTATATAAATATTTACAATATCTGATGAATGTTAAATTGTTGGAATCAAAGCTTTAAATTTTTAATATTGCAATGAAAATACTAATTTTGCAGTAAAACATTCTATTTAAAGCAGTGAAATTCTTTGTATTTTATATGGTATTTGTCTACTGTTTTCTTTCCTAGTTAAAGCAGTAAAATTCTTTGTATTTTATATGGTATTTGTTTTCTTTCCTAGTTATAAATGTCACACTTGTCACCATTTAATTGCTTCTGAGATATTTATAATTATTAGGATTTTTAAATCTGTATACTAGTAGATTCATATTAAGACCAATACTTTGGGATGTAGAATGTATTTCATTTGTCTGCTGGTAGGAGTAGCAGTACAATGTAATGGTGTAAAGGAATATAAAAGGACAGTTTAATTATTTAAGTACAGATGTAAAAAAGATGATTCAGATCCCAAGTTTAGATTTATAATCCCTGTAATAGAAAACAAAATATTGTGAAGTGTGTGCAAGGCAGCTTGAAATAAAAGTTATAGTGACCTTTTAGTTGTGACAGCATTTTTGTTTTAAAAACAACTCAGTGGTCTTAAATGTTCATAGAATAGAATAGTTTGATTTTTTTTTAAGGAGGTTATGTTTTAAATTTTAGATTAAGTTTAACAACCTTAAGGTGAATTCTTTTAACATCTTGCATTTGTTTACAGAATATCTGTTTCGATTACTTAATGTCTAAGGTATGATGAAACATGCTATATTTCAAAGTAGTAAAATAAACAAGTTTCAGCACTCTGCAACTTTTAACAGGTTAAATATACCCAAGGTGGACTTGAAAACCTCGAACTTTCAAGAAAGTATTTTGCACAGGCATTGAAACTGAACAACAGAAACATGAGAGCTTTGTTTGGGCTTTATATGGTGAGTTGAGGTGTATGCTTAATGTTACTTTACAAAATCTGTCATTAAAAATCCATGTAACTCTCCCCTCCAATCATTCCTTGCTCATTTTTTCTATTTTATTGGCAAGCATATGATTTTCTTTCTCTAGTTAAAAATGAATTATAGGTTGGAAGGCAGTGCTATATTTGAATGTTATAAATCCTAGCTGTTTGACATTTCATTGTAAAATATCTTTTAACATTTCATTGAAGGTCTACCCTTATGAAATTAAATACTAATAGATACCAAAGTATTTTTATTTGGATAATTTTGGATTATTCTCAGCATCATCATATTACTTACCTAATTATTATTACATGAGATAATTTTTAACCTTGCCAATAAAATATATTAGAAAATAAAATTTCTAGTATATCAAATAAGAACATTTTTTATGATACACAAAAACAGTTGGAAACTGTGAGAAGTGTGTAGCTATCGCTTATGTATGTCAAATGAAAAGCTTAGAAAAGTCAATTAACAAGAGCTGTGGGAAGCAGAATTTGCTCAGTGTTAAAATATATGTAAAATGAGCACCGTGTATAATCAGAAGGGCTAGGAAAATAAAACTTTTATTAGGTCAGTTCTTCAAACTTTTTATTTATCCTAGTCTTTCTTACGGACTTTTAGATGAGTTTCTTCTTGTTCAGCTCAGTGGAAAAGAATTTATTGAAGAAACTGAAATGAGAAGAAACATAAATGTTTTAGAAAAGAAAATATGACTAGAATATGTTTTATAGGAATTTCATGAAAATTTTCCTGGATTCTACCAGAACAGTTGGAGTGCCTTGGAAAAGCAGTATTTACTAAGTGAGTTAGGTAGCTATTTTTAAAACAATATAACAATAAATTATTACTAATAATTGCTTATACATAGCACTTTATGAGTTCTACTTTTTGATTTATTTATTTATTTATTTATTTTTGGGTGGTACTGGGGATTAAATTTAGGGCCTCATGCTTGCTTGGCAAGTACTGTACCACTTGAGTCATGTCCCCTTTTGTCCTTTTGCTATTATAGTTTGCTTTTCATTTAGGGACTCGAGCTTTTGCCCAGGCTGGCCTCCATCCTTGATACTCTTACCTCCACTTCCCAAGTAGCTGGGATTATGAGCATACACAACCATAACCCTGCCCTTTACTTTTTGTTTCAAATCATTAAATTTTTACATTATCTGTTTGAATGATACTTTTACTATTATCATTTCACAGGTGGTAACACTCAGACAGAGATTTAATTAACTTATCCTATAGGTGGACATAGAAGTCCTAAGTGATTTGTTGAGGATTCCAGCCTAGGCACCTGACTTTAGAATCTTTTTTGTAACCACTATGTTTACTTATATTCAGTCCAAGAAAGGTGATATTTTAAGGTATAGAAATTCAGTATTGGCATTTAGATATCTCACTGACAGGAGTAAAGGCAGGTAAAAGAGCCTAAAGGAATAGATGAAGTATAAAAGAAAGGCTTAACTTTTTTTTTTAATGACATGGGCATATTCTTTAAGAATAAGATATGTTTAAAAATAAAACAAAATTTATACCTTAATCTCCCAGAATTATAAACATACATTTAAAAATTAGCCTATGATTTTTGGGATTTATAGATTGTTTCATGGATCTCAAATTAAGATCCCTCACTTAAATACATTTTTTTAAAAAGGAGGTGTATCACATTATAGAGTCTGTAGAACACAGTTTGAAGCTCTTGGTGAAAAGAGAAAGTATCTCCTTTATTTCATACTTGTATTAACTTGAAGTCAGGTCACTCCTGTTGGACTGAAAGTTTTTTCAATGTAGGAAGTTGACTAAATTATTTTTGAGATTCCTGGTGTTAATATTCCATGATTCTGATATTGAAATGCTGGTATGATCCAGTAACAAAAAAATAATGCTAATAATACCCTAATGGTAAAAAGTGCTTTTTTTGACTTACAGAGTATGTTTCTGTGGCTTCTTTATTTAACTCATAGGGAATTATAGCTTTAAGAGCTGTGGCAATGCATAATTTCACTTCAGATATTGAAATACCTTTTCTGTTATTACTTTGGATTGTACCATATCTTAAAATATATTTTCATTTCAAACACTCAATTTTATTTTTATTTTTTAAAATGTCTTGGTACAATTTATAGCTTACTGCAAGTATGACCCTTTAATAGTTCTTTATTATCTTGACTAGAAAAGAGAATTTTGTTTCATGTTTCTTTTCTGTTTTTAGTCTGCAAGTCATATTGCTTCTAATCCAAAAGCAAGTGCAAAAATGAAAAAGGACAACATGAAATATGCTAGTTGGGCAGCTAGTCAAATAAACAGAGCTTATCAGGTTAGTATTGATAATTTGTTATCATGTACATTAGTTAATATTTTTTTCTTCATAATGTTTGTTTCTACAAACTATAAAGTCTAATGTATATCATTGCACTTTTATGTCTTTGGGTCTTTATCAAATATGTTTTAACTAGTAGAATTAATTTATAGTTTTAGGACCACTTTTTTCCCAATATGAATCCATTAGTATTATGATTACATAATTAGTCTTCCCATGTGGAAATCATTCTTCATTTTGCAAATATCAAGTATTTCTAAAAATCTAGGAAGGATAAATTGCATGATGCATTTCAGAAGCAGATTGGGTTATGTGAGTGTACTTTGATGAGCGGTGTCTCAAGAAATTAAAAAAAGAAGAAAAGCCTAACAGTAAACCATACCATAAAAGTTTGTGCATTACTTACACTTCATATCTTATATTAAAACTTCATTCATTTATTGATTTTCTGAAGCTCATCTCTATAAGATTTTATAGGAAATTTTTTTCATGGAAAATTTGCTCCTAGGAAAAAATATATACTTAACTCTTATGTATAACATCAGCCTTTTTATTTAAAGGATAGCTTATACATTTGTTGGCTTACATTTATGTTACTTATGTATGTTAAACATATTCTTCCATTGTTTTTAGGATAGGATGTTGCTGTCAAGAAACCCAATGCCCTCCTGACTTTTTTTTTTTCCCCCGTAAATGATTTAGGCTTTTGTGTGGTTACCCAAAAGAATTTTTTCTTTATCTTTAAATCCAGTACTCTTATTATAATATGTTTTGTTGATTACTCTTGGGTCAGTTTTCCCAAATACACAGTACACTTAATTAATATATGAATTCAGGCCTTTTATTTGAGAAAAGATGCTTTCAGAATTAAATTATATTTTTTCTGTTTAAGTTTTCCTTTTCAAGGCTTCAGTTAAGAGTATATTAATTTCCTTTCCCTACTTCTCATTTGTTTCCTTTCAAATTTTTTTATCCTTTTTTTTTGTACTTTTTGTCCAGACTAATTTTTTTGTAGAGTTTGTTCATGTTCTTTTGTTTTGTTTGTTTTTCATGTTTAAGTAAGTTAGTTTTCCTGGGCTGTTAGTAGAAAATACCTGTGGAATGGGGGGAGGGGAGGACAAGATAGGGTAGCTTTTCCAGTTGACACTTTTCTGTGGCTTCCTCTTTTTTGTTATAGGTAGCTCAGTTGTGATCTCTGTCTGTCTAGTCTTTGTCATAGCTAAGCGTAACTCAGATTTTCTGGCACTTCTCTGTTCTACTTTATACAGTCCTAATGATCTTGAATCCTGAAGTGTTGTTCTCAGCTTTAAATGTTAGGTATTATTGCAGCAGTTGTTTTCTTTTTCATTTGCTATTAATCCCTCCTTACCCTCCTTATCTGGACCATCTCTTCCTTTTGCCCTAATGTTTCTGCCTATTCAGTTTGATTTTGGTTTCTAGTAGTTTTTCTTCATGGAGTGAGGGTTTTGTGCTTCTGGAAATGGGTGTTTGCTAGGTATTTGGGAGAATTTGAAGCTTTAGGTGGTTAAACTTGTTTAACCTCACATTTGCATTCCAGTTTTTTACACTTGTCTTTGATTTGGATCCTGTGAAGACTTTGTAAGTTTTGCAGGCTATAACTCTTGTTTGAGGAGCTAGTATTTGTTCATAATTTCAGATTTTGTTTTTTCCAAAGTAGTCGGTTCTCCTTTATGACTTCTTATTGCTTCTACCACAGAGCTGTTAGTTTTGTGTAGGTTCTGCTGCTTTTGGTGACTTATCATATTGGAGGGCTTTAGACAATTGCCTATAATCGAGTTGTTTTGAAGGACATCATTTGTAGGCTTCTTTTCTGTTGCTTTGGTTTTGATTTTGGTGTTAACTCTTTGTTTTCCCATTCCTGATTAGAAAAGATTGGGAAAATTCAAAAAATTCAGTGTCCTCATAAGATCATGGAAAGTTACCTTTATGTATTTATATTATGTTTTGTAGGGAATATTAGTTCTAAAAAAATGTTCTTTTAGCATATTATAAGTCAGAATGTTTATAAACATTTACAAAACTGCACTGCTTCTACAAATGCAGTTTGGGATAACTCAGATCTGTAATAGGGTTCCACACAGACTAGGCCTGGGGTGTGGATGTGTGCATATGTGTGATTTAAAGATATTTGTAGAATACAAAACTAATAGTATGTATAATACGTCATTGTTTTAAGCTATTTATGAAAAAGAACTAGCTATTCCGAGTGATTTTGTTTGACATGGCATGTCTCTATTTTTTAAATAAATTTTCATTAAACTGTATACAGAAAAAAGAAGCTGGGTTCTGATGGCTCACTCCTGTAATCCTAGCTAGTCAGGAGACAGAGACAGGAGAATTGTGGTTCGAAGCCAGCCCAGACAAATAGTTCATGAGATACTATCTTGAAAAAAAAAACCATCACAAAAGTGAGTCCGGTAGACACTGGCTCAAGGTTTAGGCCCTGAGTTCAAACCCCAGTACCACAAAAAAAGAAAAAAAAAAAAACCACATCATAAATATGAATATGCATTTCAACAAATAAATACCTAAGCCAGTAAATATAAATATTAGCTCTTACCAGGTCTTCTCAATTTCTATTCCTCTGTCCTTCTCAAGAGTTCTGACTTATAACCCTGTAGTTTATAGGATCATGTGGTATGTATTCATTTTGCCTAACCTGTTTCACTTACTATTAGGTTTATGTGCATACACAGTGTTTTTTTTAATTACAGTCTGTCTAGTCAATTGTTGATGGGTAGTTTGGTTATTTCCTCTTTGGGACTATTATAAGGCTACACTGAATTTTCTGTACAGGTCTTTTAGAGCACATGCACTTCTGATGGGTGTTTACCATTGAGTAGAATTATCGGGTCACAGAATTGGGTATATTTAACTTTAGTAGATAAAGGCAGTTTTCCAAATTATTATTCACTCCTACTAGCAGTATCAGAGTTCTCGTAGATGCATATCTTTATCAACAGTTGGTTCTGTTAGTCTTTGTAATTACAACTATTCTAGTTCATGTATAGAAAATTTCATAATTTTATTTTGCATCTCTCCAGTGATCAATGAGGCTGAACACTTGCTGAACACTTTCATATGTTTCTTGCCATCTGGATATCTTCTCTCATGATGTCTATCTTTTTCTTTTTCTTTTTTTTATTGTTTTATTATTCATATGTGCATACAAGGCTTGGGTCATTTCTCCCCCTGCCCCCACCCCCTCCCTTACCACCCACTCTGCCCCCTCCCTCTTCCCCCCACCCCCTCAATACCCAGCAGAAACTATTTTGCCCTTATCTCTAATTTTGTTGAAGAGAGTATAAGCAATAATGGGAAGGAACAAGTGTTTTTGCTGGTTGAAATAAGGATAGCTATACAGGGCATTGACTCACATTGATTTCCTGTGCGTGGGTGTTACCTTCTAGGTTAATTCTTTTTGATCTAACCTTTTCTCTAGTTCCTGGTCCCCTTTTCCTATTGGCCTCAGTTGCTTTTAAGGTGTCTGCTTTAGTTTTCTGCGTTAAGGGCAACAAATACTAGCTAGTTTTTTAGGTGTCTTACCTGTCCTCACCCCTCCCTTGTGTGCTCTCGCTTTTATCATGTGCTCAAAGTCCAATCCCCTTGTTGTGTTTGCCCTTGATCTAATGTCCACATATGAGGGAGAACATACGATTTTTGGTCTTTTGGGCCAGGCTAACCTCACTCAGAATGATGTTCTCCAATTCTATCCATTTACCAGCGAATGATAACATTTCGTTCTTCTTCATGGCTGCATAAAATTCCATTGTGTGTGTGATGTCTATCTTTTTCTTTCTTTTTTTCCCCAGTACTGGGGATTCAACCATTGAACCCAAAACCTTGTACATGGAAGGCGAGTGCTTACCACTGGAGCTATGCCTCCAGTCCTTTTGTTGTTATTCTGTTTTTGAGACAGAGTCTCACTGCCACCTTATCCTGGGCTGGCATCAAACTTATGATCTTCCTGCCTCTGCCTCCCAAGTAGCTGGGATTACAGGTGTGCACCACCCTGCCTGGCTAAGTCTATCTTACTGGCTTGTATGACTTTTCATTATATTTTTTTGTTTTCTGATTGTACACCTGTTTTGGCTTTATGTGTAGTAATTATCTTTTTTATGTTTGTGTGTTTCACAAACATAAATTCTGAAGTTAAATGTGTTTAAGTTTAATAGTTATTTCCTTATGATTTGTACTTTATGTGTTCTGTTTAGGAAAGCTTTTGCTTCTCTATGTTCAAAAGGTAGAATCTTGTATGTTTTCTTAATTTCTATTGTTTTCATGTTTAATTTAGTCTACTTGGAATTGATTTTTATTTTTGATGTGAAGTAGGGGTCAGTTTTTTTCTTGTGTGGACATCAAATGTTTTCTCTCCATGTCTGTACTGTGTCATGAGTCTCATTCCATGGAAGCTAGTTCCATGTGGTAAAGAGAAGATCACAAATGGTAAATCTACCTTGTCTGGGTTCAGAATTTTGCTCTGATATTTATTATTATGCAACAGACAAATTATGTAACATCTCTGGATCTAGCTTTTCTTCTACAAGATGAGCATAATAAAAGTATTCTGAGGAGTTAAAACATAGTTTTCATCAAATAACACAGTGTTTATTAATCATGTACTTTAAACTCACTGTGTTATGCCTGCTGTGACCATTATAATAACAATACTTATTGTAGTAGAAAATGTTTGTAGAGAAGTTAGTATGAATTACTCTCTTTGCCTATTTTATACCTTTTTGTTTTTTCCTCTTGTAGAGCTCGGGATTCAACCCTAGTCCTCAAGCATACTAGACAAGACTGTACCACTGAGCTATATCCCCACCCTCTTGTTTCACAGCTGAGGAAATTAAAGCACAGAAAGATGAAATAGCTTCCCCCAGGTGATATCCTGGTTATGACAGCTATTTTCAGACCCAGGCAGTCTAACTCCAGGTTTGATACCCATAAGGGTCACAGTATGCTGCCTCTATAAGAATGTGTCCGAAGGTTTAATTATAATTTCTCACTGCCTCCTGAAATATTTTCCCAGGGAAAAATTGGCTTTCTACCCCTACTTGTTTCTCTATTAATTTTAGATCTAATTCTCTTAATAGTAATTAAGCTCAAGTTAGTTTTATTTGGTTTTTTTTTCGTTCTCATCTCTTCAGTGATAGGCCACCTTGATTAGATTTTTAGGCAAACATGCTCTTCCCTGCTGTATGAAATGCGTTTGCCATTAGACATCATTTCAGTATTTTAAGCCTTTGTTCATAGATCCGAACCCTGTTCTTGGTAACATTTGCCTGCTCTGCCATTCTCTCTCTTTTTTTTCCTTGTCTTCCCTTCATTGTATATCATTAGAGCCTTTTTTTTGTTGTTGTTCAGAAAGTGTCAGTGTTCCTTGGAAAGAGCTCTGAGAGGAGCACATAAGCTCTTCAGGCTTTTGAGTTTTGCACCATAAATTCCATAGTACCCAGAGATCTTTTGCACATCTTTACTGAAGACATGATTTTTCTCTTTCATTGCATTAAAAGGATAATGCATGGAATTTTTCATGAAATTCCTCAGTTTCTCGTTTGTATTGGATACCACCCCAAAACAGTAACATACCTTTCAGTTGGTCATGTCAGTTTTTTGTGTAGCAACTTCTAATACTCCTTAATTAGAAATCACCTCTCATGCAAATTTATTTTTACCTCTTGATACCTATAACAGTTTTTAAATAAAATCTCTTGTTGCTTTTAAATCTCGCACATTCTGTGTTTACTTCAAAGGTTTTGTGTATTTTTTTCTGTGAATCAAATTCCATAAACATTTGTATCAATTATGTTTTGCTGGCCTAGTGATTTCAGGTATCAGCCTATGTGCTTGTTCTTTAGGTATTCAGCTTGATTTTAGATCTGTTCAGTAATTCTGCTAGTTGACTGTTAGCTGGATATGCTGGGCCTTGTGTCTCTTATTTGCCTGGTGTTCTCAGAGTTTCAGGAGCAGTAAACAGGTAAAGTATAGTGTGCACAAAATTTTTAAGCCTCTGATTGTATAACACTTTTCTTATATCCCATTGACCAAGCTATGTCACATGGTCAACTGAAATTCAAAGACTTCATCTCTCAATGGGAAAAGAAATCTGTATGAACTGGGAAATTACCCTGCTGTATAACTCTGTACCTCCAATCTTTCTGTTTTAGCTTATTTTACCTTTTTATCCACATTATTGTGATAAAATTGTGTATAATGCACACGTTAAGTGTAGTTTCAGAAAAGTACGTACCCCTTTCACCATCACCACAGTCAAGATATACAGCATTTTCATCATGCCAGAAAGTTCCTTTCTGTCACTTTGTAGTCAAACCACCCCTTTCCCCCAAAACAAGCAAGCATTGATTTGATTTTTTGTCACTCAAAATTAGTTTTGCCTGCACTGGAACTTTATATAAATGAGATCATAGGTTATGTGGTCTTTTGTGTCTGCTTTCTTTCACTCAGCATAGTAGTTTTTCAGTTCATCCACTCACCTTTCCATTTCATTTGTCCTATTAGTTTGTCTACCCATATTTTCTACAATTTGTATAAAAGTAATCTTGAGCTCAGTGTATCCCATTTATTATAGTGAATGAATCATTAGTCTCTGAATTTGTTAAGCAAGTTTTTATGATTTTGTTCTTTTGTGTTCTTTCTGGTGAATTTTCTTACAGATACAAAAGAGAAGCATAAGAGAAGAATTTACTTAAGCAAATGTAGTTGTTTGAAAAAAAAAAATACAAAACTTGTGAACAATATAGAAAAGTATAGCTTCCAGAGATTGGCATGTTTGTAGTTAGAGAAATATCTAAAATATAATTAACAACTTCACAACTTATGTCTAGGCATATGAAGTTTAAGGTATATATTATTCTGTATTGTAATGTTTTTCTAGATACTTATAAATGACAGAAAATGAGATTTTAAGAACTGCTTTTCTTTCTTGGTTTCCACTTAATAATGAAACAGTATATGGCCACCACTTGGTCTTCAATTAGGTAATTGGTTTAGCATGTTCAATAGAAGCAGGCATGTTTGATTAATGCTCAAGAAAAACTTTAATCTGAATCTACAAACTAATTTTCCAGATAAATGCTGCTTTGGTACATTGTTAGATACATCTGTGCTGGTGTTCCATGTGTTATTTTATGATTGCAGAGGTGATTGTGTTACTATCCTTTTGGGAAACAGAAAATTAAATCAAGATTTGAGAAAAAAATAATGATTCTGGCTTCATCAGTTAAATTTCCATGTAATTCTGGAATAGACAAAAATAATTGCATCCCAGGCAAAATTGGAAATGAAAGATTGGTATTTCTAGATTGCTTTTTATCTGTTCTGACACAAATAAGTTAGCTTGGTTTATTCTAAATTACAGTGGTTGTCAGTAGTGTTGACACTATAGTAGTTGATTTTTTTTTAATTTGGTAATTTTTAAAACTTTTTTATGTTTAAGTAAAAACTATGAAAAATACTATATTCTGAAACACATGTTACAACTTTAGCTTTGTAAATTTATATTTCCTTTGCTATTAAAAAATTAGAAGAAATGTTGCTGCATAATGTCCGATTCTGTACCCCTTCCCCAGTCCAGTAAAGCTTTTTTCAGAAAATTGGCTTTTACATATCTGATTAGAGCCATTCTTGTTTACATTGGGTAGGCATTGTTAAAAGGAAAGCTTTTCCTAGTAAATCCTCATGAAGATGAATTTATCAAGTGGATAATAAGCACAACCTACATCCTTATTTTGCCAAGGGAAATTATTTAAAAGCAAAATTTTAAGTGTGGTAGTGTTGCTACCATATTTTATAGTTATTACTTACATTTTTAACACTATAGTTCCTTAAGGTAGTGATGCCTTATGAAAAGGGAGATGATCTTGATTTTTGTAAGCTTTTCTTTTTCCTTGGCATTTCCCTTTCATTTACTCTTATCTAAAACGCTACAGAAGCAAATGTCTTAGGAAGTAGGGGAATTGTAATGTTAAGCAGTACCCAGAAGGTCAGAGGCAGGTTACCAATTCCTGAAGCCTGTGGTTCTATGATGTTACCTGTGCTTGATCACTTAATCTTTCTGAACAGGTCATGAGAAGTTTTCCAAATTAAGTTAATTACAAAAGAGAAGAAACACATCATAAATCAAGTACTGAGTACTTAAGACTGCATGGCTATTTGAAGAAATGGTCAGTTACTTGAAATTATGTTAATGGAAAATAGTAGCTGTTGCTCATACCACATTTTAAATAATACTTTTAAGCAAGAAGAAATAGGTAACATAAATGTAGGAAATTTTTCTCTACCTACAAAAGAAACACTTATCTGGTAAATATGTTGTGTTAAATCAGACTGATAGAGGATGGGGATTGTCCATCCAGTTAGAAACTCATTTTGAAATCAGCATGGGGTGTTCCAACAATTTTTCCTCTCACTGATTACATGTGCCCGATTGAATTTAATATACCACTAATTTGATTTTATATATACAAAGATAGTAATTGATGCATTATTTTTGTTTTCATTAGAAAATCCAATCCCAGTTTAGATCGATAAAGTAATTACAACTTAGCCAGAAATGGTATTTTAAAACATGTACATCATTTTGACATGTGCCATAAAGTCTTGTTTGACAACTTTTTGTTGTAAAAAGATGATGTCATTTAGGCAACTAGTAAATCTGGAAAGTTAAGAATATGAGTTACTTTAATTTTTGAGATAACTTAAAACTATATTTAATAAAAAGTACTTCTATCTATATTGTACCTTATTTGAAATTGTAAAAATCTGCTTAGAATGGAATCAAGTAGAAGTTGACCACATTCCTACATAAATATGTGCTCAATTTCATTTAAAAATTATATTTTGTTTCATAAATGTTTTGGGATCCTTAAGATTAGGTAATTTTAAAATCAAATCTATGATTTCATTGGGTATCACAATACTTTAATGCTTAAACTGGCCAAGTATGCAGTAAAAATCTTTACACTTCACCTGAAGTTGAAATCTTAATGAAAATGTCTCCTTAAACACATTTTATTTGATAGGTGATAAGGTAGTTAATTTTGAGTGCCATTAGTAGTATGAAGATAAGATTGTGATTTTTGAAACTGTCACTGAAATTGAACCTAATTGAACTTCTTTCTTCTCTTTTAATTAGTTTGCAGGTCGAAGTAAGAAGGAAACCAAATACTCTCTTAAGGCAGTTGAAGACATGTTGGAAACATTGCAGATCACCCAGTCTTAAGGTTTCAAAACTCTCTGATGTTAGATTTCACAGCTGCACAATTGAACTTACCGGCCTGTGACATACTTACTAAATGCCCCATACTATTTATATTCTAATTTTCTGTGAAGATGGTAGTTGCAAAGAATGTGTTTATGTACACCTAAAAATGCCTTTTACTGCTAAGCGGGAAGCTGGAGAAAATCCATTCAAGAAGGATTTAAGACCTATTGATTGTACATCAGTCTCTTCATGTCACATATATATTAAGACTGTTTTTAAACCACAATCTGATGTAGAAATACCCTTGTTAAATAAACCATGGTTTACTAAACTTGCATATGAAGATTCTAACTTCTTTTTTGTTACAAGCAGTGTATCATTTTAGAACTCAATTTCTAGTTAACTTGCTACTGCTGATTGGAAATACATAGTATACATGTTTTGCAGAAGCAGGATTTTTTGACTTTGTTTATAGTGTCAGGTTGGACTTTGCCTCAGTGGCTGTTTGAATTGTTTATATGCTGTATTATTTTTATCAGTCTCGCCTTAACATATTTTATTCTCCTAAGTTTAGTATCTCTTTGTGAAATTCTTCTTTTGATGTAGAGATTTGTACCTGTAAAATGCCTTAAGGTTAATTATGCGCTGTAACGCTTACATTTAACCATTCATTCCACAGTTCATATTTAGCGAACTTTTTAACTATAAATTATATAAAAGGATATTTAAGGACCATGGAGAATAGGGATTAAAGGGATCGAAGTGGCTGAGATGCTTATTTTGGGAAAAAATGTGAAACTATGCCATCTTTAGAAAGAAAATTATTACAATTCTCATATCCTATCGTCTCCTTTAGTTATAATTACAATTTATTCTTCTCTTTGTATAATAAATAGCTGTTTAGTTACCTTCAATAATATTTTGCATGTTTCAGTAGAGAATAGAAATGACTTTGAAAATTAAGCACTTCATTTGGGCACATATTAGTTTTTAAAATTGCCAGTTTTGTTTATTGTTGGTATTAATTAGTGTGTGATTTATATTTTAATCTAACTTTATTTATTTTTACTAACAATATACAGAGGCTTCTGTAGACTTTTCATTGCTGGATTTGAGCAAATAGGAATTGTGAAGAAAACTGACAACCTGGAATTTAGGAAAAAAACTGTTGTATCAACCTCTTTTATGTATTTATTTATTTACTTATTTTTTGGCCATGATGAGGATTGAATTCAAGGCCTCATACTTGCTAAGCAAGCACTCTACCACTTGAGCTATAACCTCCTAATACCAGCTTCTTTTAACTTTTTGGATAATTCTTACTCTTAGTAAGTTATTCTTCATATTCTTCATGTTATAATCTTTTTTCATTTTATTCTGTGACAGGTAATGAGCAGCTGATTAGTATCTTTTGTGAAATAACTTCCCATAAGAAGATAATTCTCTTCACTGATCTGTTATCACAGAGATACTCTTCATGCACATGAACCTGGTCACTTCATTTTCAACATACGCAGCCATTTCAAACCTTTATTTGTTATTAAGAAACTAGTACCTATACACTGTCCCCCTGCCTTTTCTCTCTCTGACTTCCTCCTCATCAGCCCATAGATTAGTATTTGCTTTAGCAGTTGTACTTGTGTAATAAGTAATTGACTACCTCCAATAGCTGTCAGCCTTAGTTTCACTTTATTTTTTCTGAGTTATTTTTCGAATAAATTCCCCCAAATTTTTATAAGTACATTTTTATATTGCAGTGTAGTGTATATTAAGTGCATTGTTAATGACAGTTTATTATAAATTTTGGTTTAAATGTACTGATAATCTCATAGTTGCAGACAGTTGTCTACACTACTTCGGTTACTTCTATTTCTTCTTCATTAACAGTACACTATTTTGTTTGCATAGTGACAAAGATCTCCTTTCCTCAAAGAGATAGGACATTATGCCAACTCCAAAGGGAGCTTTTTAATTGATGTGAAGCAGAAGTGATTCATTTCTCATGCTCAGTGATTAGTCCAAGGCAGACTTTTTTCAGGAAAGGACATTAATTGTCCTTCTGTCCATTGTGGCAGCTACTAGCCATATGTGCCTGTTGAGCACTATAAATGCTTCTGGAGTTAGTGTAACTGAGAAATTAAAATTTTAATTTTTAAAAAATTAAATAGCCACAGGTGACTTGTGGCTACCATATTAACAACATAAATCTAAAGTGTGGGCTATGCCATGGTTAGGCTAGTGAGATGAACAATAGCCTGCTGGGAAGGCCCTTCTTTCAAATGAAAAAGTCAGAGCTTTGTAGGATGACCCTTTGTGCCTCATTCTCTTTCTGGCCACAGTGCTAGCAAGATGCATAGAAGTGTAATAGCTATTTTACACTCCCTGATAATATATACTATTACACAAGAGAAATAAACTGGCTTTTTAAAACGCTGTATTTTGTGTTCCTGTTTCTTTAGCTATGTATGTTTCTGACTAATATATCCCCAATTAAGCTTTTCTTTAAACATGCAGTACTTTTAAGGCATGTCAGGAATTATATTTCAGAATATAATCATTTAAAGCAAGCAGATAATTACATATAACAGAAGAAGTAATATGTTATTGCTGCTCCGCACCTCTCATTCTAATCCAAAAAGGTTTTTAGAAAAGTCAGAATTACATAGCTTCAATCATAAGAATAATATTGATTTGGGAGCAAAGGAGACGCAGAAAAAAATAGAAATGGGAGGCCCATATTTCAGTAAGTTAAAAGCATATAATTCAACTTTTTATTGGCACATATTTCCAAGAATCTTCTAAAACCACAGCCCACTTACTCTGAAAGTAACTTCATGTTCCTTCATTTCATAGAACTAGATTTTTAGAAAGGACTTTGAAGATGATTTAGTTGTACTCCATTTTAAGAAAGGAGTCTGAGACCTAGAGAAACCCCTTGGGTGACAGAGCAGGGACTAGGACGGGTGTCAAGGGTCCTCAAGCCTTGCTTTTTCTAGTATCTAATGCATGTATCTATCTTGTGATATGTTTTCCCATTTTAAGGTGACAAAATGAAACTCATATACATGTAAGGGTCATAATTTATTAGCAGAGCAAGAATTAGGATTCAGATTTTCTGATTTGTAAAACAATTTTAATTGAATAATGTAAAAATTTTAAGTGAAATTTACCTTTTAAAAATGTTATTAAGTCAATTTGAGAACTATTTCAAAACTAGAACTGTTTTTACCCCCTTTCACTTTGAACCTCAGATGTACCCTATCTCCCTTCTCACTCTTGGCAGGTTATGAATTGTGTTCCCCACAAATTCATACTTATTCCTTTCACAAATTTGTTCTCATTGCCTCTGTGTAGAATAAAGCCTTGCTTAACTCTTCCAGAATAAAAAGGTTAGACCCTCTTGTCATACACTGTTTTGTTTTGCCAACTTTTAATTTTTTAATAACTTTTCATTTTGAAATACTTCTAAAGATTTGTAAGCAGTTGTAAAAGTAGACCAGAGAGTCTTCCTGTTACGGATTTTCCCAATATCTGTATAACCATAGTACATTATTATACAAGGACCTTGATACTGCATTAATACTAATAACTCAGGTACAGACCTTACTCAGATTTTACTATCTTTGCTTACTTTTCTTCTGTATATGCATGTTCTCATGTGTAGATTCATGTTACCATCACTACTATTAAGCTATAGACCATTAATTACATCACTATAAATAAACTTTCCCTTACTACTGCTTAATAGTTATGTCCTCATATAACCAGAAGGCTTCATTCCCACTGATCTGTTCTCAGTTATATGTAATTTTGTCACCTTAATAATATATAAATGCAATCATAAAGTCTGTAACCTTTTGAAACTGACTTTTTCACTCATCATATTGTCCTTTTCACTGTCATTATTTTTGTCAGTAGTTTGTTTCTTTTTATTGCAAAGTAGTAATATTACAGTTTACAGATGTACCACAATCTGTTAACCCACTCACTGTGGAAGGACATTTGAGTTATTTCCAATTTTTTCCTATTGCAAATAAAGCTCTGTGAACATTTATTTAGAGAGTTTGGTAAGATTTTTATTCCTCTAGAATAAGTATGTGAAGTGTAATTGTTGGGTTGTATGGTACATGACCTTATTAGAAACTGCCAAAGAATTAAAAAATAAGCAATTCTAGTTGTACATGATCTCTTCCAGAAAATATGTAAATGAAGAGAACATATTACCCTGACACCAAAATTTTTTTAAAAAGATAGTATAAGAAAAATGAACTAGAAATCAGTGCTTTCATAGACAAAAAATGCTAGAAAATTTGTTGCAGGCCAGTGTTGAGAGTTCTTGCCTTCATAGGCCAAAGAATTGGCTCATGATGCATTGGGTCGACTTGTGAGACAACAAGGTTGACACAAAAGTAGGATTTATTAGAAAAGAAAACTGCCCTAGAGACAGACAGGGAGTCCAGAAAATTGGTAGCTCTCTATTGTTTACATAGAGGGTTTTTTTATTTGGTTCTTTTTGTTGGGAAGTGGAGTCGGGGTGGAGTGGTTTTTTGACATCTCTCCATAAGAACACACTGTTGGGGAGGTGTCAGAAGTCAGGGATGGTGTGGTCTTTTAACATGTGTGTGTTCTCTACAGGAACACACACATTCCTGCGAAAGCCTCCTGGTTATGGACCTTGTAGCATTTTTGAGGCATCCCCACCGGCCATGACTTGTGAAACCACATGTCCCTTTACAGGATGTAGGGCTCACAGTGGTCTCATAGGGTTGGAGGAACTGGCTATTTTTGTCTTCTGATCCCCCAGACCCAAGAAATTGAACAAAAGAATAATATAACACAGCTACATTAGGTATATTATAGAAAGGCAACTTTCAGTATTGAAAGATCAACTTATTCTATCATGGTAGAAAGGAAAAAAAATTATATAATTATATCAGTGCAGAAATAGCTCTAGACAAAATTCAACATCCATTTGTGATTCAAAACAAACCTTAGAAACAAAAGGAAACTTCCTGAATATGATTGACAGCATCTGCAATAACTTATTGATGAAAGGCTGAATGAATTCCCCATAAGATTGGGAACAAAGCAAGGATATGCATTTCACTACTTCTATTCAACATAGTAATAAGTGGACATGGTAAGATCACAGAATACATGGCCAACACCCCAAAATCCAATCTTTATACTAGTGTACACAACATTTTATAATCACTCAACAGTGGTGCTGGGAATACTGGTTATCTATATGCCAAAGACAAGCTTGAACCCCCACCTCTCAACCTGGACAAAAATCAATTCAAAATGAATCAATGATCTTAGTATAAGTCCTTAAAC